AACAACAGTCAAAGGATATAAATGCTTTGTGTGTATCTACTTACATAGCATTATATGTATATGTATTTTCAAGAGTTGATTTGTAAGGATTAGGTTTGTTTTTACGACGAGTTTGACCACGGATTGATATCCGTTAGACAACCATTGAAAACCACCATGGAGTAATGGACAGCTATTTCATCTTAGTTTGGGAATCATCGGCAGTACGCATCCACCCTGCAGGGGGTTCGAACCCAGGACCTTCCGGTTAAAGGTAAGCAAGCTCGTATACCATTCAGCCACTGGGATCCGATCCAGCGGCCCATGAATTCCAACTTCTTCCAATTCGTGATTTAGCTTGACCACCAACCAATTTCATCGTTGGGAAAACCATCCTCACACTCGACTGGATGGAGCCCCCTGGTCACGTCTTTTCACTAGAACTCCAGGAAACTCCGTGCTGTTGCAAGTCATTGACATGCATTAGATTAATTTTCAAGACTTGATTTGTAAGGATTAGCTTTGTTTTTCGAGTGACTCGATTGGTGACTCACTCCGATTGGGAGTGAGGACAAATACTCGCCAGTGATGCTATTGACTTGTGCCAGTTGCGCTAAAAACACGAGTTAGTAAAAGTTAGAATTGATGGTCAGGCCATTGAATTGGTTTTCAGTGGTAAAATAGTCTACGAGCTTGCTTGCTTTTAACCGGAAGGTCCTGGGTTCGAATCTCCCTGGGTGGGTGCGTACTGGCAATGAGTCCCTGAGTAGGGCGAAACAGCTGTCCAGTAATCCCTGCTAGTTTTCAATGGTTCTCTAACTGATACCAATCCCTGGGCAAATTTAAGCTTCTATTAGAAATACCTAAATTTATCCGGCACTTTCTAATGAATTAAGCTTATCATAGATTTAGTTAGTGTTCCTTCACCCCTAGCCGCATAAAAAGCTGACAATTTGAAACCAGCTCTTGAAAGTTAAGGGTTACATTTAGTCCTCATTCAACATAGCAGTCACTCTTTATTTTCTCTCAAGTATATCAGCTTGTGTTGATTGCATGATGTATGTATATTTCGACAAAACAATTAGAAGATATAATTTATCTCAAACGTGTAATGTGTATTTGCGCAATACATTTCGGGCATTCTGATCACACACATGTACTTTTCGCGTGTGATACTAGAGTGTTGGAGACAATCGGCCATAGGAAGCCTTGGACCTAGGTTTTGTGCTAGTTGGCACTGGTCAACAAGGCGTATCTGCAACCACATTGAAGGAACTCATGTCCCTTCTGAGATTCAAACCCGCGTCACCCAGTGCTGCAGTCAGAGACGTTACCACCACTGAGCTATTCGGGTTCTCTATTGACCTACTGTAGGACTGTATCGCATATTTTTGATTGGTCACTAGTCAGTGACTAGCGTAATGTGTCTAGTCATTTGTGTGGTGCAGACTGAATTCTATCATCAGTCAAGTTTTCAGTGTGGCCACAATAAGGGTCAAAATGTTTGCGGGTTACAAACACAAATAAGTAAGAAAATGAGGGGTGAAAAAGGGGTGTGTGAAAATATTATTAGTAAAAAACTAACCTAACTAACTAAATTAGATTACACCAAGGCAGGTTCGAAGTAATGACAAATAATTTTTGAACACATTTGAAACAAGTTTAGGCCATTTTATGACTCTAAGGCTTCAAAAGATTTAGCTATATGACCCAAAGCAGTTTTGGGTCATTTACAGAACTGATTCAACCAGGTGATTCTATTTGTTCTTGTAGCCATTTAAGGGATGTGGTCTGTAACCCTGACCTGCCGAGCTCAATGGGTCATCCCTGCGTATGTATGAAGACACATACTTGTAAATTGGTAAATACGGTCGGATATGACACTGTCGTTCAGGTACTATGACGATTCACTGGACAATACAAATTTCTTTTTCTCCATATAAATGAGTTTAGCTGCGTAGTAAGTTCTGTTGAGTGCTGCTCACAGTCTTTGTCTAGTAATAAGACTTTTGTGATCACCCTTGAACGGTGCTGACTGGATTGGCAGAGCCCTTTGTTCTACACTTCTGTAGCATTTAATGAATTTTGGAGGGTAATAATAGTATTTTAGTGAAGTTTTGCATTTCTTCCTCAATGGTATCCTTTGTACATATCTAGAGATGTTGTATGTGTCTGAACAAGCACTTCAATGGAGTGAACATACAGCATGATAATTTAGATACTTTTCTGTTCAGATGGGCTTCCTCTAAACTCAGATCGGCTTACTGACTCATCCTATCGGCTAGTTATCAGTACATGTAAAACTGGGGGAACAGTTGTTATTATCTCATAGGTATGATTTCGAATGCTTGAAGTGGAAATTATGATTACTTCTCCAGTTTTGATACAAAAGATATCCTGAAGTGTCTAAAATCCTTGAGACTTAACCTAAGCATTCCCTTGGACCAGATGGTGTAACAACTAGTATCCTCAAGAAATGTGCTAACTGGTATTTTCAATGAATCATTTTCCACTAACATTGTGCCTACTTTTTAGAAGGACATTAGAATTGTTCCTGTGCCTAAATCACCAAATGGATCAAGTTTCAAGTCTAACCTATTGTTATTACATCACCTTTTCTTAAAAAATAATAGAGAATCTGATTTTAAGTAACCTTGAACCTTCATTGGAAATTTTTAATGATCATAAACTATTTGCTTATAAACGTAGTAGGTGTACTTTAGATACCACTGTTGTTGTGTATCATGATGTTGCCCATAATTTAGTCAGAGGTGCCAAATATGTCCTGTGTGCCTTCCTAGATTACACATCTGTCTTTGACTCTGCTCTACCTAGGCCCCTTTTGTTAAACAAGCTTGCTGTAACACAAGCACAGTGCTGGATTACCAAGTGGTTGCATTCCTATTTTTCTGATAGGAGGCAGTACACTGTTTACAATGGGAAGTCTTCCACTGCTTCACTTACTGTAGCTGGTGTTCCTAACTCAAGGTGCTGTTCTTTCTCCTTATATGTTTTCTTTCTTCTTACATGGCTTGTCCCATTCTGGTGAAGCCAATTTTGTTAAGTATGCAAATTATCTCACTGTTACTATGCCGGCAGTTACTTCTCAGTCAGATTGTTCCAATATAAATAAGTTTTTATCAGAAATTAGTCAGTGGTCCTCATAAAAGGGTTCTTAAACTTAATCCCTCCAAATGTCAGGTTGTTAATTTCACTTTCAGACTCAAGCGTGACCTACATGAACTGGTTCCTTCCCATGATTCCACTCTTATAGATGGCACAGAGGTTGAAACTAAATGGAATGTTAAATATCGGGGAGTGTGCACTTCCTCTAATCTTTCCTGGTCTTCATGCATCATATTAGCGACTGAGAAGATATTTTGTTTGACGTTCTATGTAAACGAGTTAAGATAACCTAGTAGTACGTAGTCTCTGCTTTCTTGTATTCTGTCTATACTTCTTTACTGTTCACCTTTAATCTTTCCCGGGCTACTTAAAAAAGACTTTGTTACATTGTGAAAGGCACTAAAAGTCACCAGTAGTGCGAGTGTGGGTTTAGCTAAACCAAGTCGTTAATACTGTTGTAGATAGACACATGAACTTCTGCAAAAAAAACTAGTAAAAATTATCTTGTCAGACCCTGAGCATCCTGTCTATACATGACTTACTCCTTACTGCATCTCATCTGATAGGTGAACTAGAAGCGACTACAGAAGACTATATGCTTGGATGACTAAGTATAAAAACTCTACAATACCTCAATTGGCACATATTTTATGTGATGAGAAAAGTGTGATGCATGACACTACCAACATACTGCGTAACACTAAGTAAACTGCCTTCCTTCTTTTTCAATATTGTTACTGATATGAGATAATTGGCTGCAGTACTGTACTATCACATGCTGAAAATTCCATATTTGTACCAGAATAGTGTTTGGAATAAAGCAATTGTTATTATTACCAATATGCTATTTCATAGCGTATTCATCCAGTTAAGAACTTCTGAATAGAATCTGTTTACTTGTCACAAGTAACCATATATATGAAGGTTAGCAAAGGAAATCATTTCACGGATCATTACTTCTCTTTCGTTAGGATCAAATCTAACTTATCCTTTTGATTATATGTAACCAATAGATTTTGTGCGAACTATCTGTCTGTCTGTTTTCAACATAGAACTTTGCACATATGTGTGGCAGTTCAAGTCGCCACACTTCATGTAGCACACAAAGTAAGAGAAGAAAGTGAAAAGAAATGCAAAATAGACACAGTAAACAGGGATATCAGATAAGAGGAATAGTAATATGGAAAATAAATATAGTTTCATTGGGTATTATAAGTCACGAGGAGTGGATGCATCTGCACCATTGAGAACGATTTTGAGCCATATCACCAATTGTCTCCAGTTGTCATTGGTTTTTACCGTCCCAAGGACCCCAACCAGTCAGGAAGTATACACCACCTTCCTACGTGACTGGCTTAAACTAACTGTTGTGGATTTCATTGACTGATGAAGTCATGTTTTGGTTTGGCCGCCGCTAGCTCTTTTCCAGCCTGACCCTATGTCAGCTAACATTGCCCGTTGTCGAGGAAGGCGATGACTAGCCTAGGCATACTTATTACATGTCCCAACCATCTCAGTCGATGTAACTTCACAGCCTCGTCGATTGATTTTCCCTCCCATCTACCTAACACTCGACCGAAGCCTAACTTGAATATTGCTCATCCTAATATACCACCTAACACATGAGATAGAACGCACGCACTAATGATCAAAGGCAGTTAGCCTGCATTTTCATATCTTCCACTCTCAATGGCCAGGTCTCACAGCTAGCCATAAAGGAGGACGGAGCGTACTGCTGAGCAGTACACCCACCCTTTGGTTGACAGCCAGCCAGCCAGATATCACGTCTAATTTGCCAGAGACGGCGTATGAACTACAACCTACATTCATCATTATAATCAATGTATATGATATTTTGTTGTTTTCTTGTTAGCCTTCATTATTCTTTTAATTCTATGATTAAAAAAGTCTTTCTATTCTATTCTACTTACAGAAAGAGTTTAACTGAAGCGATAGAAAGTCCAGCGAAACGATCAGAAGTCTCACCGAAACAATATCAAATTAGTGTACGTTTTGCTGATCGTACAAAACAGCTGGTTGCTGCAAGATCCTACTTCTATAAATCTGAACATCAATGTAATGAAAATATGGAGACATTTTTAAAGTGTATTGATGTCTCATCGAAACTAAGTGATTATTCTATTACTGCAATCAAGTTGACTGCACTTGGCCGACCACAACTACTGGTAAAACCAAATTTTAAAAAAAATTAAAATTGCCTACTCTCCCTTATTTTATTATAGCAACAGATGTCTGATTTTCTAGTACAAATGAAACGACTGTTTTTCCTGTTGACTGATTCCCATAACAAAGAATTAGGCGGAATGAAATTTTTAGATTTAGAAAATTTTCAAAAAAAGTTGGAAGAGTTAGGCGTGAAAATTTCATATAATGAAAATGTCAAGTGTTTCACTCTACTGGATATTTCTGGAGATGGGTATGTTGTGTTGTATAAGTTATAATTATAATTAGATTTCTAAATTGATAAATAAATAATTATTTTTATTGTTCCCTTGGGTTCCTAGTGGAACACAGGGCTTCAACTACACGTCGCCACTTGCTTCTGTCTTCTGCTGTACTTTTCACCTGCGTCCATGTTAATCCATACTGTTTCAACTCCTCTCCACACGATCTACTCCATGTCACCCTTGCACCGACGAACCACTCGCCGCTTCCCTTTCGGGTTCCACTCGAGCACTGGCTTGACGCGTGATGTCACCCAGCGGCCTCCTCCGCTCAGCGAGTATCCAATCCATCTCCACTTTCCCCTGCATATTTGTTGAGCGATTGGTTCTTGTTTTGTTTGTTCCCATAGTTTCTTGTTGGTTCTTGTTCTTTCCGGCCATCTGATCTTCAGTATAGAGCCAGCGAAGACAGTTGTTGATATAAAGGTCTGCTACAGGCTGTTGGAAATATTCTTTGTGACCCGCTAGTTTTCTAGCCAATCCCAAGCCCGGATAAAGAGGGAAGGTTGGGGGGTGGTGCTAGCAACTCCACCCCCAAAACTTAACCAATTTGCTACAGAAACTTCAACGCATAAATATATTAAAAATACTAAAAAATTGATAAATAAATAACTTTTCTGAAATAATAGAAATAATCCAATTACTCACAAAAGAAACTGTGTGCAGACATTGTTTAAAAGAGAGTTCAAACACACACTGTAGCACTCCAGTGTTGAAAAGAATGGAAGAAAAATACCTACAAACGGTCTTCAAAAAGAATGGATATCCTCCTCACAATTTCATCAAAAAGTGTTTGAAGTCGAATCAAAACACCAAAAAAACACATCATCATCAAAGACCACAAGAAAATTCATTCTACCATACATGAGAAATATCTCTGAAATAACAGCTAGAATACTGAAACCGTTTGATATAGATTATAGCACACAAATAAGCCAGTCAAATCGCTTAATTCGATATTATGCCATCTGAAAGATCCAACAGAAAAAGGAGATAAAATTAATACCATTTACAAAATAAATTGCGTGTATGAATTGTAACAAGCATTACTTGTCGGCCAAAGTGGGCGTCCCCTTCGAATTAGAATCCGAAAACACAAACTGACTGTGAAAAGACACGATATGCATTCTTTGGTATCAATGCATATAGACAATTATGGTCATCAATTTGATGATTGGGATAATGTCAAAATCTTAGACAGAGGAAACACCAAAAGTGCAGTCAGGGAATTCCTAGAAGCCTGGTACTCAAGCGAAAATGCAATTAACAAACACGTTAATATTGACGAAATATACCAACTAATAAAAAGTAAATCAGGTGACCAGAAAGTTTAAAATCCAAGTCAATAGAAAATCGTCAATACATACGTAAAGATGGTTACCGGGAGACGCAATTATATCACTCATGAAGAAATTTAAATCATTTCACTTTATGCTAAATATTGCGCTGAAGATGTTGTCCAGCAGGGGGGACGACGAAAGCTCCACAATTAAACCAACCAGCTCCTCAGAGAACACTATTAATTGCAAATAACTTTTCTCCTTTTTTGCAGGGTTGTAGATTTACTTGATTGGACTCATTTGAAATCGTTAGAATATGATCTTGCTAGATTATTTAGTGTGAAAAATAAGAAGGTGAGATAATGTTTTTTGATATGATTACTATTATTATTATTATTATTATTATTGTTTGCCTTCTTTGGGTCTCGAACACTAGGGCTTCAGCAGCATCACGCTTCCATTTTGTCTTGTTTTCTACACGATTGCTCATAAGCTTTTATCTCCTCTGTGTGTCACCATTAGACGCCCAAGTCGGCGTTTCCTACTTGAGGACCTGATAAGCGATGTCACCGGACGGTCTCCTCAACGTGTGTATAACCTATATCCAGTGATAAACTAACTAACTGGCTATGGTGAAAGTACCTCATTGGTACATGAATGATTAGTCGTGTCGGTTCACCGTGGAAGTGAGAAGTCAGGCAGGCATACATTGGACGGACGGAAAGGCACTGGAAAATCTGGACTTTGTAGATGATATTTTTTCCGTCTCATGTCACACAAACTCCGAAGATCTACAAGCGATAAGCAACAGTTTGGCAGGAGAGGCAATGGAGACTGGAATCCAAGGGATAAGATAGAGGTGATGAAGATTTCCACTATTCAGCAACGACAGAAAGCATTAATAGCCGTCAGCGAGAGGAATGTAAAGGAAGTCACTGAAAGTTCAGCGTATAAATCTGCTGTGCTTGCCATAAGGAACAAGACATGGTACTGAAGTACTCATGGCAAGTGAGTGATCATATATGGTTCAGAGACCTGGCACGACATACAAATCATTTCGAACAGGGTACGCCAGTCGACTTCTGTCTTCATTCCATACTGAAGATCAGATGGCCGACGAGGAACGATAAGCAACAAGGAACTCTGGGAACGAACCAACATATAACTAACTACTGGCCCCCATGAATATGCCGGAGAAAATGAAAATGAATCGAAAACACACTGAGGAGACCGATGAATGACATCACACACTAAGCCCAAGTGGAAAGTGAAGAACTCGGTGGCCGAGTGTTACACATGGAGATTGTGTGAACGGGCGATGACAGCTTACGAGTAATCGTGAAACCAGATAAAAAAAGGGCCGGCAGAGAATACAGTGAAATGACGATGCGCTGCCGAAGCTCTCGATGTTCCGTTTGGTGTGGAACCCAAGAGAATATTAATAAATTATAATACCCAAGTCATTTCATGTTGTAATTGAGTCTCACACATTTCTAGTGATCCATTTTTTTATTATTGACAACTGTTATTATGCACCTCTGTTTCATTATTTTTGGTGCATTGTAGACCGGTGAAATGGAACAACTTGTGCCGACGCTTACAGGTGAAGGTATCGAAGAAATGCGTAATATGATTAAACGTCTTGATACGCTAGCAAGTGTAAGTTTTTCTTTCTCTGGTCCTTAAAATTTTGACCCAACGAGATAAAACATGTATGACTGGTGGATTGAGTGTCAACATAGAACTTCTCACAAAACTGCAGTACTTCAGGTCACCATACACTCCACGTAGTCCACAAAGGTTTAAAAATCAAAGAAGATGGAAATCTGGAAGAACTTTAATGAGCGGAAATTTTTAGGCTAAAGAGTAGTAACATGGAAAAATATCAAGGTTTAATGGATACGAGTGATTAAAAAGAGTGGATGTATCTGCGCCATTGAGAAAGATTTTGAGCCATATCAGCCTGCTGAGGAACCCCAATCAGCTAGTCTTTACCTACCTACGTGAATCAAACCAAACAGTCAATGACTTCATGAACGGATGAAAGGTTTTGGTTTGACTGCCCATATCTCTTTTTCAATCCATTTCTATAACTGTTAACACTGCTCGTGTAGAAGGCGGTGATTTGACACTCATAACACGTGTCTTAGTTATGCTCAATCGGTGTAGCTCCACAACCATATTGATTGAACTGTCTTCTTCCATACTTAGCCCTGTATACCAAAGCTCTATATTACTTGACCATTTACACCAAATAAACAACGCATATTGAATGTAACCGTCTGCGGTGAAAGATAGCTAGCCCTTTTCATAAGTTCCACTTTCAATGACCATATTTCACAGCCATATAGAAAGATTGAGTGAGCTGCTGAGCCCTACACACATCCTTTGATGGTCAATAACCGGATATCATATCTACGTCATAGATGACGTAAGTTGATAAATCCCACACGAACCTTTTGCACTGTGATATGCAAGCTGTTGGTTGGGGCGTTCCAATTAATTTAACCTACGATTGGTAAGCTTTGATTAAGTGCTTACGTGTATGGTTTTGACGGATGCTGTAATGATTAATTTTATGAATTTCACTTTCATCTTTGACTAAAAGTTCCCCAATAATTTGCACAGTCTACCTCAATACCTCGTCTAATAGTGATTAGATTTTATAGACGTTAATGTACTTAAGGCAATGTTGTAGCTTAATCCTCATTCGCCTTTATAAAGTAAAACTCTGACAAAACGTTTGAGTGTGAAAAGCTGCTTAGGCCCCAACCTCATTTTTATCTATTTCCGCCTGTGATTGATGTTACTAAGTTGAATAAAGCAAGAACAACAGTGGTTTTTGCAGAATAAGAAGATGGTACCATCATCGTTTATTTTGTTGGCCTCTCATTAGTTGCTGCTTACAGGCCAAAGTCATTATTAAGTATGTCTACAGAGACAATTTTTACATACTTGCACAGCGAGTTCATTTTTAAACAAAAAATCAACCAGTAAGTATATGCATACAATAATAATAATAAACGCTTTATCCCGAACAATAATGATTATACACAATAGAAACTTTCGGCATTACGTAATCAGATGAAGGGGAGAATGAAAATATCCGGTTACCAGGGCAAGGAAAGACTGATAACCGCTTCTTTCTGAATGCATAAATCAGGTTTCAGACGCTTGATGGAGATTGTTGCTTCGGCAAACTTAAGGAGAATTGAACTCTTTTGCCTATTGATAATTTTGAACGATCTTGCGACATCTACCTCATGACCGGTGGTGTCAAGGTGATGCCTGGCGATGGCACTGTTTAAAGCATTTGTTCCCTTTAGACATAAGCTTTTCGGCATATGTTCAGATAATCGTAGATATGCCTTTCTTTCTGTTTTTCCAATGTAACTGCTCCCTCAGATACATGTAAATTTATATATACAGTTGGAGTTAACATGAGAAGGATATCTGTCGATTTTTGATTGCACCAAAGAGCAAGTTGTTTTAGTAAGGCAGTGAGTGATTCAATTACTTAGATTCTATATCTCTTTCAACAACAGCTAATAATGACGAATAAAGCCCTTAAGAGATGAAGGATGTCGCTGATGGTTAAACAAAATGAGCTGTGTACACAAACGTAAGTATTTATCCTCCAAATCCCTTGGGTAATTGTTCTACTAAGACTAGAGAAAAATCAAAACCACCAACTGATCGTCGTCTCATATACGAGATGTATGTCTGAATCAGAAGAAATGTAAAGCGGTGATGACTGTTTAACTAGTTAGTTAGACTGTGTTCACAAATAGTAATGATCAAACGTAACACGACAAAAGTGTCAGATAGCGTAGATACACTTGACTGTGTAGCTTCTTCAGCTTGACCAGTCGACTAAATCATCAAACATCAACACCCCAGTGTTAAATGATAAGAGAGAGAGAGGGAGCTGTAGGCTAATAACTCTGGTGAATTACTTATCGCTACAGGCCTTTTTATGCTTATTCCAAACAATTGGTTGGAGGATTTCATCATGAGCTGACATCAGTTAGAGAACCATTGGTAAACCTGGGAGTACTGGATAGCCATTTCGTCCTAGCTTGGGACTCTTCAGAAGTACGCACCCACCGGGGGTCGAAACCAGGACCTTCCGGTTGCAAGGCGAGCTCGTAGACCATTGAGCAACTGGGACCCGATCTAATGGTCCTTGAATTCGAACTTCTGCCAATTCACAACATGGTGCGACCACTTTGCAATGTCTTCTTCGATGAGTTACTGACTCATCTTCAACCTGCTGTACCCTACTGGTCACGGCTTCTCACTAGAACCCCAGGTTAAGTGTCTGAATAGAGCCAGTCACTAGTGAGCATCCCGGTGAGTGAGTACTGATGAAGAGTCCCAAACTAGGACGAAACAGATGTCCAGTACTCCCAGGTTTTCCAGTGGTTCTCTAACTGATGTCAGCTCATGATGAAATCCTCCATGCAATCAAACAAAATCCCTACAAAAAGCAATACTTGAAAATATTCCAAACAATGTTGTACGTCTATCTGTCTGTCCGTCTCTCATCGCTGTAATTTTAAACCGAAGTGGCTATTGTCTGAAAATTTTTAAATACGTAAATTTTCTCATGGTCTTGTTATTTTATTTCCGCATATGAAGTATTCCAAAGGGAACAATACTACTTCATGCATAGTTATTCTATATTTAGTAATGCTTTCTTAAAAAGTTTTTTTTTGTGATATCCTCCTTTGTTTTGGGTAAATCAGTCAGTTGTCAGTCTTAATAAATCACTGCATCTCTTCCCTTAATCGATTAGAAGAGAGAATTATTGATCAATCATTTCAGACCTATTGATTTTTAGGATGAATATCATGAATAGATGAATAGATCATCAAGTATGTTGGGAGTCTAAGTCAGCTAAACGTAGGCCACTTGTGTTAAACAAGCTTGTTGTGTGACACAAGCACACTGCTGGACTAATAAGTTGTTGTTGCATTCCTAATCTTCTGATAGGAGGTTGCAGTACACTGTTTACAATGTGAAGTCTCCCAACCGCTTCACTTAATCTAACTAGTGTTCCTAACCGAAGGTGCGGTTCTCCCTCCTTTTCTGTTTTCTTTCTTCTTACATGAGTTGTGCCATTCTGATGAAGCCAATTTTGTAGAGTATGCCAATGATCGGGCTGTTACAAAGCCGGCAGTTACTTCTCAGTCAGATTGTTCCCACATAAATAAGTTTTTATCAGAAATTAGTCAGCGGTCCTTTTCGAATGGTCTTGAGCTGAATCCATCCAAATGTCAGGTGGTCAATTTCACTTTCAGACATGGGTGCGACTTATATGACCTGGTTAGTTCGTATGGTCTCACTGTCTTCGATGGTAGAGAGGCTGAAACTGAATCATATGTTAAATATTGGGGAGTGTGCACTTCCTCCGATCTATCCTGGTCTTCACACATCATATAAGCGACTGGGAAGATATTTTGTTTATCGCCTTACGTAAGGAAGTTACGACAATCTGCTACTAGTCTTAGTCTCTACTGTTACAGTTAATTCTTCCATTCTGCCTATACTTCTTTACTGCTTCCCCATAATCTAATGTTTCCTGAGCTAGTTAAGAAAGATTTTGTTATACTGCGAATGGCACTAAAAGCTACCAGTGGGGTGATTGGGGGTGTGGCTAAACCAAAACCGTTAATATTATTGTAGGTAGACACGTGGACTCATGCAAGAAATTATCAAACATCAATTTGTCAAATTCTGAACATCCTCTCCATACACAACTCACTCCCTTGCTGCATCTCATCAAGTAGGGGAACTAGAAGTGACTGTAGGAGATTATTTAATAATAATAATAATAATCTACTTTATTCCAAAAACAGTACTTATAATACAGAATGGTATTCTCAGCATTTCTCACGATATTGCATCTGATTTACTCAAAATATAAATAAAATTAAAACAAAATTAATCGGAGGAATTTGTCCACATTTACGGCATAAAGTCAAAAATATTCGAAGCATGATTTGAGATTATTAAATAAAATAATAATAATAACAATAATAATAATAACAGTGAGTTTGTTTTAAACGGTATTGTCAATTCAGTTTGGAAATTTAACATGTTATAGATTATTGAATCTAATGTTCTGTTGATATATTATGGTGAGGGGAAATATAAAATTAACAGTTATAACACAGCTTAAATGATGTTCACACTTATGAGAAAATAAACAAATAAAAAAAAATTGCGAGGATTATAAATACAAGAAATACAATAACAATAAAGTTTGATGCTTCAAGGGTGGAGGAAATGGTTTATTTATTGATGCTAAGAAGGTTAATTAGTTGATGCCTGACACTACTTTCATCACATAAAGTACGTGCTAAATAAGGTATAGTGGAATTTTTATACTTAGACGTACAGGCATAAAGTTTTCTGAAAAGACTTCTTGTTTTACCCGAGGAGACACAAGGTTAGAGCTGCGGGTAGAGTGGGTGCTCACGGTCTGAAAAAATTCCTTTAGTGAATTTGTTACATGACATCAAGTGCCTAACAGTGACAGTGTCAACGATATGGCCCAATGGGATACCACTAGTCCTACTGACAGTCTTCAGAGTTCTACGAAGTATGACATAGTCTCAGATGACTAAGTATAAGAACTTTACAATACCTTATTT